AACACTTGATCCCAAATTGTGTGGATTGTGTGATCCCAAATTGTGTGGAAGTGATATATACATAGGGGAGATTTCTAGTTATTAGTTAAATGGAAGGCACTGCCAGTTACAAAAACAAAAACTAGATATATAGTAAAACTCTGCTAATCCACACAATTTGGGATCAAGTGTTGTGCAGGTCATGTCTTTCAGACTAAAGTTTACATTTTTTCCTTTCCAATTTTTACACAAAATTTGGATTGAACATAATGAAATCATACAACAAGAATTATTTAATCTGGATCCGATGAATACAAAATTCTATTTTTAACACATTTATTAAAAAAATGTCAATACACATGAAACATGTTGCTGGAGAAAAAAAGGGGATAAATGACAGGGAATTTTTCTGGGAAAGTGAATTCTTTCATAAAAAGCTTTAAAATATTTACCATAAAAAACTGTGCATCAAACTGCAAAATAATTTTTTTAAATAACTTATGCTCATAAAGAAAAGAAAAACCAAAGTAAAAAAATTGCGGTTTACAAAACCTTAGTAGCAGTTTTTTTAAAACAGAATTTCTATGCTGCTACTGCATTTTATTATGTGCACAGGGTTTTTGGCTGCATAACACACTACCAACAGCTCAAGAAGCTTTAAGACTTGGAATTTTGGTCTTAATAAGAGAAAATTTTTCAATACCATTGTTAACATGTTTTTGAATAACAGATAAATTTATGTAAGGCTATATTTAAGAACTGCTTTTAGGAATCTACCTCTGTTGGCTGGCTGATGTAAACAAGTTTGCCTTTTTTTTTTTTTTTTTTTTTTTTTGCAGTGAACATAAACAAACCAGCTATGAATGCATTTAGTTTAAAATTCAGTGTCTGAAAATGCTGCTGATAAATACATTTTTAACAAATGTTAATTCCATTAACTCAAAATTAATATTAAAAGAAAACAGAATACACTCAAAAGTAATGCATTATTTTAAACAAAAAGTGTGCACATTCATGACTTCAATAAAAAATATATTCAGAAATGTTCAATATTTTCAATAATGAAACAAATCAGCTTCTTTAATTAATATATGCTATAAATAGTTTACTTTAAGAAAGTTATTTGTATATTTATATTAAAAAAGCATTTAATTTATTGCACTGAATTTCCTGAAAACCATGTCTGATTGCATTGCAGATTGTTGGAGTTCTACAGCACTGGAATTCTAATACCTAGACTGCATGCAATTTGTTATCTGAATCCTATGAAATGCCCAGCAATTGGCAATCAGTTGAAATTTTTTTAAATTCATGAAAATCCATTTTGTGCTCAGAACCTTTCTCAAAGTTCCAAAACTAATGCATTACACGAATTAATTTCCTGCATAGTCTAAATTTAAAATACCTTCAATTATTTGCAATTCTGCTTATTCAATAATACACCACTTCAAAAGATGTATGCAAACATGAACAATATATTAATATGTTGTCAACAGAGAAGAGGAAAATTTCTCTTTACATTAACACCTTTACAGAAATAACACCTAGATTTAGAAATGTTTTTGCAGATATACTCAAAAAGACCACATGAATCTCTGAATTATGAAGTCACTGTGTAACAAGGCATGTACTTGCAGATGGTACAAATATTGTACAACAGCAATTGTTCATTTAGTATAACTTTACCCCTTCAACTGCCATCAAGTAGTTTGGAGTAATTAGCATGCTGTGTGGTTTGTCAAATACTTTATAATCCTTGTGCAGTGATAAAAATATTAGCGATGGAAATTATCTGGAAATACCTAAAAAATGATGTTGCCTTTATATAGATCAACAAAAGTGGTGCAGTGGGTTTGTTTGGCTTGACAAAGCAACAAAAAATAATAGTAGCAGTTTCTTGATAACAACAAACAGCAACAGAATATGTATGACAAATTATAACAGCTCGAGGCAGATGGTACAGTGCAGTTTTATAATGAGAAACGAGAAGGTATTTAGAATACAAATGGCAATACAAATACACGGATTTACTTTCACATTTAAAGAACTGGACGAATCGGTATCCAAAATCTAGTACATATTTACTTCACCACTTCAAAGCCTCCTCCGTTCCACTCCAAACTTCACTATATGTGACATAAACTTCTACATAGTTCAGCGATGGTGAGACTTTTTAAGAAGTGGGTGAAATTTTTTTCATTATTTTTTCTAAAATACTAGGATGTGGGTCACCAAGTCAGGCGACACGTGAAACCGGCTCACACCTGGATGGCTTACACAGACTATTTGGGTATTGCCTGCAGCCCACAATTTTCTAGGACAAGCAACTCCTGATTCTCCGAAAGCACCACATCGGGAGTTCATTTAGAGATATTTTAGATAAATATGTACTACACATAGATTCACTTAATTATACTAGTGAAACAACATCTGATACATATTTATATAATACAGTGAATCGGTCACCACTGACTGCGCTACTTGAAAGCAGAGGGAGGTAAAAAGAGTACCAATTTTTGGAAACACGGAAAACTTGACAATTGGGCCATTTCTTTCTTTCATTATGAAATATTCAGCATTAATAAACATAGTTACAAGTGGTTATCAAAATAAAGGAAACATCCTAGATTTATACGGAATTCTTTACTAAAATGGCGTAGGACTGCCTTTGGCATATAATACAGTTTGAATTTGCTTGGGAATAGAATCATAGTATGTTCCACGTATAATGTTGTTACACGTTTCTAACTTTTGAGTAAAGGTTTTTAAACAACATGTTATGATTTTCAATAGATTCACGTTGCAAAGTTTTAAAACTGGTAATAAAATTTAAATGAAAATCGACATCATTAAAAATTTATCAGACAAGTAATAATTATTAACTTAGCTAATATTGAAAACATAGTCCTTGATTTAAAGTTAGTATATTTGATTAATTTTTGGCTAAGGAATGTCATGGTTTCAAAAGCCACTCCAGTGAAACATTTTCTAAAATATTACAGTTTTAATTTGGGAGAAAAGTTTACTGAAATAGTTTAGAAACAGTCTATACAAGAATAAAATTTCAGAAAATAATTAAATCTTACTTCCTTAAAACCTTTCCACCATTATCGTTGTAATTTATGCATTTGTAGCATTTCATTCATGCGAGTGTTAGATGTGCCACATCAGACAACTTTTCAGGGCTTTATAGCCAATTGCGCTAAAAAGACGTGCCACACACGTCGAGATGCTTTTGTCTCAAACCGTGTACAAAAATGAAAATAACATGGTGTACACGTCGCCTAACAATGCGATTGTTTAATTCTTGAGTTACAGCTCTGGATTGCACTCGCAGACACGGAGCGGCATAAATGAGACACTTTACCGCTTGTTATATTGTAGCGCACGGCACCGCAATCGTGAAGTTTAATCATAGCGCAAGTGGTTAAAAGTGTTGGCACGTGCCCTGTAATCAATCATCGGAGGAGACACAATATGTGCGGCTTGAGTGTTGAATAGCGAGTGATAAAAAAACTGCTATTAATTCGACATTATATTTATATATTTTTAATATTTTCAATTGTCTGTCCACTTTTTATGATAAAAAATAAATTCATAAAAATCAACCTGTGGGTCGTTTAAAATGCATTCGTAAGTCAGTGTCTGACCTGCGGGTCATAGGTTCGCCACCATCGACCTAGTTTCATAATTATCTACTTGCGGCATGCACATCAACACCGCTTGCACTGCTGCTTCCTGTAACATTGCTTGCTCTCCCACCCCCTTATCATGCCACACAATAGCTTGCATCAATGATGTGTAACTTTAAGATAATAAATGATTGGGTTACATCTGTTGTTAATGGAATTTTTATCTTTGACACATTAGGTTCCTAGTTTGTGAATGTGAATATCATGAGTGCATAATCCACATGCCATTCTGGAAGGCTGCAGACAACTGCAAATGCCACACATCGCATATTTTGTTCACATGTCAAAGTTTCATGGCAGTTGTCAATGGAAGGTCACATGATTTCCCTTGTAATTTATATATACAATTATAAAACTTTCCATACTCCTATACTAGCAGATTTAAAATAATCCTTTTGCTTATGTAAGCTTAACATTTACCTGATAAAACGTATCTATGAATTCTAAAGTCACTGTACACGGCAGTTGGGCACACGTTATACAGCAGTAATTTTTTATTTAGTTTGACATGCAATTCCATCTGCAGATTTCAGTATTTTTTTTAACAAGTCATGTTACGTAACCAATGAGATGGCAGTACACTTTTTTTTTTTTTTTTTCAATGCACTCTGATTAAAACTTGGACCAAGTGTTACAAATGAATAAAGAAGAAAATTAAGCAGAATTAAGTTGTTATGGCCACTGTTTTCAACAGAATGAACATAAAATAAAGGTAACTAGAACATTCTGAATTTATTAGATAACTTGTACTACTGGCTTTTACTTTACAGAGCTGAAGATAAAAAGTTTTCAAACTTTTGGCAAATGTTTATCATAACAGTTCATAAGGTATTGCTGCACACATGAAAATTTGCTTGGTAGTTAACGTTCTGAATTAATTTAAATTGTGTTACATACAATATATATAATGGCCACTTATCTCTAAGAACGAAAATTCTGTAGTAAAACTTGCTTTTTAACACAAACATTATTGCATGGATTTAAAAAAAATGTGACTGACCTGCATAAAACAAAAGCTGAACACCCCTGAACTATTTTTAGTCAACGGAACACTTACATAAATTTAAGACGTAGATATACTGAATTTGTTTAATGTGTATTCTTCGATTACATAAAAAAATTATACAATATTACAATACACAGCCTTCAGATGATTGGAACTTAAATTATGTATGCGGGATAAACAAATAAACCATGACATATTAATCAAATTTTGCAAGAATTTTTTTAGAGAATTTTAATCGATTTGTTAAAAAAATAAGCTTATAATGTACGAGAATTTATTGGTAAAAGTCTTTCTGGAGCAAAAAATAATAAGTATGAACTCACTGCTCATGTTTGATATTCCAGTCCGAGTGAATTTTTTCTTCTGTGCACAATGTTTCTTTCCTACAATATTATTTTCAAAAATAAAATAATTTCTCTCCACAAAAGGCTAAATTTCATTTTACAAAATAAGATTTTGTTCAAATAAAAATTAAAAAAAATATAACAGATTTTTTATTCAAATAAAAAAATTCTAACTGAAATCAACATTATAAAGTAAGATGAATTTTAAATGTACTTAGCCTCTGCAGAATGTCAGGTAAGTTGACAAACTAAATATTAAGTAATCAGATAAAACAAGCCATGTAAACTATAAAGCAAAGACGAACAGAAAAAAAAAAAAAAAAAAAAAAAAAAAAAAAAAAATGTTCAATTTTATATAACAGTACCACATTAAGAAAATGTCTTCTATGCAGCATTACATTAGAAACAGTATACACTATGTTTAGTTTTTAAAGAATCTATTTAATCCCACATATATCTAACATTTCTTCTGAATATATTCACTGACAAACAAAATCGATATAACAGTTACACTAATTTGATACATTTTTACAATATGCTACAAAAATAATATTATACTTTTATGTCACAATTCATGAATAAATATTGAAAGTGTGTGAAATGGACGAAAGTCTGAAATAATGTTACAATAGAGGAAGAGTATGTTTTACTTTCACTTTTCTACCTAAAAAAAAATTAAATATGCAATTCAATTAAAACCTAATTCACAGCACTCAACTGTCAGCAATGAGTAACAAAACAATCCCTCGTTTCTTTTAGGGCTTTGAAACAATTTTAAGACGCAGGTATTAGTAAACATCCAAAAAAGGTGTTAAAATAACAGCATAAGGAAAAGTTGCCAATATTAACAGAAGTTAATACAACTTCCATATATAGAGTACAGTTTAATATTTGGATTTAAACTATTAGCATACACAATACACACTTTCATATAATGTTTTAGGAGAAAACATTTTGTATTTTCAACAGTAATTTTGATACATAGTCTAAAAATGTTTACTCTAGTTTACAACTTGTAAAACACGCTACTAAAACAGCAACTAAAGAGCATCTTCTTTTCTGAATAAATAAATATGCATTAGGAAAGCTCAGTAATGTAGGGCATACTTTAAGTACCGACTCACCTTATTTTTTTACCAAAAACAGAAAAAGTTGACTTACCCTCTTTAATTTTTATCTTTGATTTCTTTGTGTGGGATAACGGTTCAAGTCTGTGAGGGTGCTTCCTTTTTAAGGAATGATCCTCAGTAGATAATTCAGTAGCACAATTCAAAGAATTCGGAGCTCTTCTTTCAAGAGTCTGGAATTCCTGCAGGGCAAGAATTCGACTTCTAGACCTTTAAAAAAAAAAAAAAAAGAATACTCTCAATAAGCATGTATATAAAAATCTAAGATAATTTTATTAAAATCTGACGAAGAATTTGAAAAACTAAAACATGCAGTTATGCAAATTTTGCACAATTTAATAATTGCTGAAAATATATCACAATTACTGCAAATAAAGGCAGTAAAACATCTGCCCGTAGTTCTTCCAATGATATGTCAGCCTTCATTTGCTAAAAGGTCAAGTTATTATTTCCTCCTCCTCTTTCAAATAATGCCCTCTCTTTTTATGCTGAAGTTTAATTTACAAAATTGCCCATTAAAAAAAGGACCAGTTTGTTCGGACCAAAAAAATAAATAAAAATCAAGTGATATTTAACACGTTGACGTCGGCCTGACCCACCGGTGAGTCATACTTGACTGTTCCGTGGGGCAGTCCTCGATTGTTCCGCAGGATGGTATGACTCACTGTGGGGTCATGTTTATATATAAAAAAAACATAGTACAAAATTTTATTTTATTTTAGTTATTCAACAGTACAAATTAACATTTCAACATAATAAAACACTCAATACAAAAAAATAACTTAAAATGTAACTTGTAAATTAAATACAGTCAAAAGTCGTTAATTCGGACACCCATAATCCGGAATGATCTATAATCCAGACCTCAAAGCTACAAACTTTCTGCGCATGCGTCATGTTGACGCATGCGCGTAAGACCTTTACTGCTGCGAATTTGCGTGTGCGCGTGCGCAAAATACGTTTACGAATGCGCGTTTAATGTATAACGGATGGGATAAGCTAGGCTAAAATTATTTAATTATCTATTTCAGTTAATGTTGCAGATTGCGTTGTTCCTTAATCTTCGAATTGGATCCGGATTATTATTTTTTGCAGACTGTTAGAGCAATTTTATAAAAGTAAGCTTGAACTTTCGATTATGTCAAATAGAATTTCCGATATATATTTACTAATATGTAAAGGATATACAAAGCGAAAGTATCTTTCGGAGTCCATTAAACAAAAAGTGGAATTGCTGCAAAAAATGGATAAAGGCATATCCTTTGTTTATCTAAACTTTAACGTTTGTTTATCTAAACTTTGTTTATCTTTAATGCCGCGGCGGCGTGCAATGAATTGGAAGTTGATCTGTCAGCACTATCCTTATCTTCAGGGCAGATGTTTTTATTTTATTTGGCTTATAATTCCTTACTCAATGTAGTATTTCATCTCGATGTACTCCGTCTTCGATATGATTTAAATCAAATGCCTCGTCATTATAATTCGCTTCCGATAGCGAAGAAAGTGACAGAGGTTATTGAAAACGAAAAAATTTCGATTGACAAATTAGTCGGTATTCTCGACACAGCAATTATAGGACTTGAACAGCGGAACTTTGTAACTGAACAAGAAATTATGTCTGTTTATAGAATTAAAGAGAATGTATTATCACATAAAAAACGAAGCAACTTAAACAACTTACATTGAAAGAAATGTTTAATAAAGTAAACAAATAAATATTAAGCTTTTTTTTTTTGTAAATTTTGATACCCTTTAGATCATAATTGTTCTTTATTTCGTAAATTACGGTTTCATATTTTTAATTTTATAATTTCTGCATGCCATTTTACCAGATTTAAACTGATGATCTATAATCCAGAAAATTCGATAATCCGGAATCCCCGAAGTCCCGACGAGTCCGGATTAACGACTTTTGACTGTATAACTATTAATTTTTTGTATGCAATATTTTAAAGGAGGCTAAACAAAGTGCCAGCTTGCCCTTACAATTATCGCAATATGTTGTTTTACTTTCTTTGGTGTATTCATGGCCTTGTTTCAAAGCCCCACGAAACAGACCGCCAATTCAAGTGACACCGTATGAAAAAGAACAATGAATATATCTGTGCAGCCGTCAACGCATTAAAAGACATATAAATCAAGCATATATTTAAGCGACTTTTCAGAAACTTGTGCAGCTAGGGAGCTATACATGAAGTAAATACAGTATTATATGGGCATACGAGAGAGAGAAAATTCCTATACAGAAGGTTTCACAGAAAGGTTGTTTACTGGTTACTAAAGCCAAGATAAACTAACAGTGTTAATTAATCTTATCCATTTAGCCAATGTTGACCTCATGTTCTCAGAACTGCTGAATAATAAATGTAATTTGAATTAACAGTCAAATGTAATACATTTAAATCCAATTTTATTCTTAAAACATATTTTCAGGAATTTAATATGAAGTAAATTTTCTTAGAATTTCAAAATGGTATTCTGCAGTTTAAACACAATTAAGTGAAATAAAATATCAAGCACTAAGCTTTGATTTTCTAACAGTAGAATTATCAAATTATCTGATTTACTGAGGACAGATGACTTTGGAAGTTGGCAATATCCCACCTTTCAACCTACATAAAACAATACTCGACATTGAAAATGCAACACCAATAAGGAGTGGTGCAAAAATTAAGCAAATTTCAGGGTAGACGCACATCACCAAGTTATGCAAATGTACACCTATTCAGTGCACGTTGAAGAAGGTATAAGCGAAGGAACCTGTAGAATGATCAATTTTCATGTCGCTATTTCTGCTAGGGAAATCATTGTAGAAAATTTTTGTCTCGGAGGATATGTGTAATAGCAGAATGCCATGCCTTCATCAACGGAGGCAATTCCAGTAGACAGATAATTTTTCGAGGGGCATGGTGATCAGAGTGAGGAGGGCAAGTTAATTCATACAGCAAATCTCAGCTGACAGACACCTGGATGCATCCACAGTGCGCCGGATGTAGCAACACTAGTTGGAATAAGGAAACGTGACAAGTTCGAGAGGTGCTGGTGCAGCCAGAGTGACATCAGTCCACCAACAAGCAGTGGTGCACTTGCAAGTCACTTCTGTCTCCATTCTGCAGCATATTCAAGACACCCTGGATGTTCCCATATCAATCAGAACCATTTTCCCTCGACTGGTGGCTAGTGGCCTGCACTTGTGGCATTCATTAAGAAGACTGCCATTGACCCCACATCATAGACGCCAACATCTGCAATGATGATGGGCTCAAGCGATGTGGATAATGGAATGGCACAGGGTCATATTCACAGATGAGTCACATTTCTGTTTCTCCTTTGATAGTCGACACACAAGAACGTGGCATCAGTGTGGAAACAGGTCCAATCCATCAGAAATTGTGGAATGCCCCACAGCATGACAGCGTCATGGTTTGGGACACAATTGCGTACGATTCATGGTCACCTCTATTTTGTATTCAGGGCACTATTCATGGTCCAATGATACATGGATGAAGTGCTGCGGCTGTAGACACTCCCTTCAGGAAGTGCCTAGTGTCCTTTATCAGTAGAATAACACCCGATCACACATGGCTCCCATCAGCCAATGTGCTCTGCAAGGTGTAACACATTTAGGATGGACTGGATGCCATTTGCAGACCCTGCCATTGCTGTATTCAGAAGATGAACACTGGCAAATGGTTGACAGGAAATGGAGAGCCATTCCTCAGGACACCGTCCGATTGAACCTCCATGTTTTGGGATATTTTTTATTATAATTACCGTATTCGACGGCATATAAGATGCACCCTTATTTAGACGGCCACACACAAGGAAAAAATGTTTCAATAGTGTGGTTTCTTTTAGTTCTCATGTTTCGTAAAAGTCAAATACGTACATTCAAATTATTGAATGCAATTACCTTCACGTATAAGACGCAGGTAACTTTTTTGAGACCAAATTTAGGGGAAAAAAGTCTTATATGCTGTCAAATACGGTACATCTTTTTTATTATACTTTTACTCTAAACATTAAATTTTGTACTTTCATATTTCTATTATTCTTTATTTTGTGAAAGTAAACAGTTTTTGGATAGCAAAACTTGCACTAATTTCCCCCTCAACACATCACATAACTACACACGTCTCTGTAAAAAATGGTGGCACTGGGGTGTGAATCTTGTACGTTTTCTGCGGTAGTTAAGGGGCTAATAACTGACAGGTAAAAAGTATAATAAAATTTTATGTAATATAGGAGTTACTATTACACCAAATACAAAGAAAAAAACTTGCTCAATATTTTTCTAATTAACATAGAAAGAAATTCTTTTCACTCTAAATAGTTCAGTAAATGAATAATTTAAAAAAAATTACGAGTCTTACATCCAGTTTAACGATTTCCCTATAAAATTAATATAATAAAACGCTGAACATTTAGATGCATGTGTACACATATATACTACCTCTGCCCAGAAAGTTTGGTAAATGTGTGTATAGTTACAATGGATTGCTATCTAGCATAGAACAGCTATCCCTGTCCTTCGAAGTAATCCCATAGGTGGTAATGCAAATCTAGGAAAGACTGTACAAGTTCTGGAAAATTCTGGGGTAGTCGTCTTTAGGGATGGTATTCAGCTGCGTTGTTACATTATGCTGCATGTCAGACATGCCCGAAAACCTTTGGTCCTTCAGGGCTGATTTCAATTTCGGGAACAAGGAAAAATATAGAGGAGACAAGTCTGGGAGTAAGTGATTCAGGGATGCAACTTCCCTGTTGGCCAGGAACTACTGCACCAGGAAAACAGTGTGTGGCCAGGCATCGTTGTGGAGCAGAGCCTAATTACCATTCTTGGCATACTGAAAGCATACCCTCTTGATCTGTTGCAGCATATATTTTAGTTATTCCACGTATGTAGAAGGTATTTAATGTGGTGCCCTCAGGGAGGAATTCTTTATAGATGAAACCCTTGAGAGTGGAATAACACTAAGAGCATTATCTTGATGCGGGATCTCTCACTTTGCACCTTCTTGCTTTTTGTTGACCCTCGACACAGGTACTTCATATTCTGATGCTTGCCTTCTAGGTCCTGCCTGAGGCACCAGGTCTTGTCATCTGTAATGATTGTTTTCTGGAAATTTGGGTTTTAATCCATCACGTCGATGAGGTTCCCACAGCCATCGAGACAAAGTCGCATTTGTTCCGCCGTCAAAGTGCACGAGTCAGGAGCAAAGCCTGAGTTTACCCAAATTGTGGGTCACTATGAGGTCGGCTGTCTCATGACCAATTCCCACCTTTTTCCATTATCATTCACACTGTCACAGGACAATTCCTGGGCCAAAAATCGCTCCACTTTCTGTATGTTGTCCGGGTTCATACAACTGCAGGTGGACGACTTCGAGAGGAGTCTTCAATGCTGTTCTGCCCTTTCTGAAAGCCCTTAAACCATTTATGCATGCACTTCAAGCTAACTGTAAACTGTTATCAGCAATTTAGGAATCTCTTTCATTGGTTTTCCAAGCTTGAAACAGAACAGCATGATGGTTCCTGATCCATTTGGAGTTAACTGCACACACAACACCTTCACCTTACAATAAGCTGTTTCCACATGATAAACACGCTCGCAGTGCCGCTGTTTGGGAAGTGGTTCAGACAAATCTGGATCTGTCCAGCGCGGGATGCACCAGTTCCACACTCTTACGACCATCAACACTATAGGCCCTTCCACATAAGTACGCTCGCGACGTAGTTGATGCAACTTTTTTGACGCCGGCATAAATTCGCGTGACGCAGAAGATGTAAAACTGAGTTTGCTCCTGTTCAGCTTTTTTGCCCACGACGCACGGGTATAGCCAATAGCCGACTGAGTTCTTATCACGTGTCATAATCAGAAAACCTTCTTGCTTACCCGTTTCAATATGGCGTCAGAAGCACACAGAGATGAGTTTTTGCTTAGAAATATCATAACTGCATACAGCAATAAAATAATCAGCATTGTTCACGCCATCTTCATATTTCTCAAACTGTATATATTGGTATAAATTTAAAATTCTCATTAAAGGGGAAACCTGTATCCTTATAAAGCAATGATCCGACCAGTATATCCATATGCTTCACCTATTTATAACACTGTAAGTAATAGGAACCTAAATAAATTACAGTTTCTACGACATCAAAGTTTCTGCCTTACAAAATTCTCCTTAATTATTATAAATATTGGCTATATCATGTGTAATAAAAAGCTCTATAAATATCCCAATATTAAATACACCAAAAACTAACTTCAGCAATAAAACAACTTCTAAAATAAAGCAGTGGACCGTGAAAGAGTATTCAATAAAATACAATTACGAAATTTTGGAGGAAAATTACAACTTGTGTCATACAGCAATCATTTATTGAAGTTTAATTAAATTACTTTTGCAGAGACTTCTACTTGTTGCATTATTTTTCACAAACACTACTATCACAGATGAGTGGTCAGCGCGCTGCTTTGCAAATGGGTGGCGAGTTCAAACCTCACCCGTAAACAGTATAAAATTCAGTTAGCTTTTCTCATTTTGAAACGTGTTTCTTATATTTAATCGTGAATCATTATATTCTTATTTTACCTATTATTATTGTTTCCATTTCTTATTTTATTCATTATTATTATTGTTTTTAAATTTAGTTTAAAAATGTGCATTGCAAATAGAAATCCTTTATCATATATCATCTATAAATTCTCTCTTTATTTTTACTTTATTGCATATTTTATCATGCACATAATTTCTCATAAACTGTCCAAAGTTTGAACCTCATTCTAAATTCAAAAATAAATAAAAAGGAAAACAAAAGATCAAGGGATGGGGAGTTAAAAAAAATATGAAGTTGGTTTTATTATATGGTGGATGGTGTATATAAAGAGAAGTAATTTAATTCTCTTTATATCCTGTATTCCAAACCAATTTTATAAATCCTAATTTTCATACAATATAGAATCTGCAAGTCTGTCAAACTGGTTGATACTCATGCTGAAGATATTAAAAAACAGTAATATACAAAAAAAAAAAAAAAAAAAAAAAAAAATCCTACTTAGCTCCAGAAAGAAAAATTTAAAAATACAATAAATAAAAAATAGAAATACAAACAGAATTTTTTAAAATTAAATTTAAAAAATTTTTATATGTGAAAAAGCTGTATTAACATCCTGTCATTCACTACAAGTTTAAAAAATTGTATTTGTTCTTGAGTGGATGAATAAAAAGCATTTTATGTACTGAAAATTTGAACAAGATATAGGGAGAGTGTGAGCTAATAGTAGGAATTTAATAATTCCGGATATCATTTTGCAAACGAGGCAGTAAAAAAAAAAAAAAAATCTCTTTGAACAAGTCGCTCTAAATATCGGACCCATTCTTGCAATTTTTTTGCGGTTTTGCCTCTGCTTAATAACTGCACTTAATAGTAAAGTTTCAGCTATAAAAAAAAATCATCTGATTCGGACAACTTGCCGCAAACATACAGAAGCACAGTGAAGTAATAAGATACAGCTCTGTTGACGCTATATTACAGTGTCACGTGATTTTTGCACAAAATAATTCTATTGGTTAAACGCACTCTTCGCAAGCGTACTCGTTTGGACGCTTTTACGCTGGTAACGTAAAAGCGTGCTCGTCAGCTATGTTTCAAGCGTACTCATGTGGACGGGCCTTATGACATAATCTACTGAACTTTCTAGACTGAGATTTCGTGCGTTACAGGAATTTCATAATATTTTTCATATTCATTCATCAGGGGAGGAGATATAAATAAAAACATAATTTTCAATTTTTCAACACCAAAATATTATAGTCAACCACTTACCCAGAAAGCAAAACAGTTCAAACTGCTTATCGAATACTACTAAATATTACATTTTTCGGTTACTGAATTGGATAAAGACACTCTGGAAAAATTATCTCCCAATGCATACACACAAAACATTCTTCAGATTTGAAAATCAGATTATTATGACCAATACTCCACACCCAATACCAATCATGTGCCCTTTATTATTGTAGGTTTTGATCAATGTGAACGTTTTATAAGGGCCATTCACCACAGACAGTTCTAGTGCTGCACCACTGAAAGCATTCATAAAAATTTACATTCTTGGCAGCTTTTGCAAAGGAAGGTTTAATTACGTATTTGCCTTGGCTAAACAGTAAGACAATTTTTGCATCATCAAAATTTCTGAATATGCTAATAAGATTTTGTGAGATTATGAGGTCCTTACTACACAACATGAGAGGCACTAATCTTTGCCCAGCAATGTTTGCTTTGATGCTCCATCTTTATCTAATAAGCTGTATTACCTTCTAAAGACTTCCTTCATCTAATAAGCCATGTTACCTTCTAAATACTCTTTTCATATCTGATTCATGATTATTGCACTGATTAAAGTTTCTTCTGTAATAATGTGAAGATCAACTATATATTGGTAAGCGCATGATTATATCTCTAGAAAACTCATTAGTTTGATGAAAATATTAATGATACTGCCTGAAAGTAATTTTTATTTTCAGAATGCAGAAAAGAGCTATAAACAGTACTTTCTTTTTAATTATTTTATGCCAGTTTTACAACTATACAAAAGTCTTTCTTTAAAAGTACTTAATATTAATTTTCCTTTTCTATACACAGTGAAAATTTTCTTAGTGATTATCTCTAAAAGTGTCCTATATTTATAGGAATGTAATTAACGGTGCTGAGCATCATTAACAACCACTCCTCTGAGGAGGATAGAATCATTGGCGATTGTCTTAAAGGAAATTTGTTGCTTATGTATAGAGCATACTTTGATAACTGTAACTACTATTACACACTAAATGGCTACAAAAGTGTTTTATCTAATAATACTTATAGTGCTTACTTTTCATTTTGTCTAGTATGGGATTATTAAATACACACTTAACCATATAAATTAAGTATTTTTTTAATCTGTGAAACAATTACAGTAATTATTGATAATCTGACAACTAAACCATTACGTATGCAATGCACAACTAAAATACCTGACTAATGTTTCACGCAGAAAAAGAAAATAAAGCTGAATATGAAATAAGTCTGCAGTCTAAATACAAAAGGAAAGAAATTACTACTTGTATGAAAATGCAACAGAAAAGAAAACATACCTTGTTCTGATAGGTGATCGAGCGTCTCTAACAGATTTGGTCAATCTTCTTTTATACCCCCCTTTCTGACTATCGGATTGAGCGGCCATAGACCCTTTTCTCTGTATAATTCATGCCACACTCTCAAGTGATCTGAAAAGAAAAAAATTCCTATATATCAACATTTGTATATGAACACATGTAGTACATCATGGGAATGCCAAAAGTTAAACCCTTCAGACAGCATGGCTGATCCTGAAATACTTACATTTAAACAAATAAAAGAAAGTGCATCCCAGATCATGGTGCTGACTGAAGAATTAAATAATTAGATAACTTCATGAACTGAATTCGAAGCATAAATTAAGATTATAGAAAGATCTAAAAGATAATTACCAATTACTGTAACAAGGGCTCTGAAGGGATTGCAGTAGGAGGACTTTTTAAATGAAACTGATATATATATATATTTGTCCCTACCAGGAAACAAATGCTTATGTACCTAGATGGCATAAGAGAAAATTAAACCCAGAAAAAGGCTATACATCAAAAGTTTGATACGCTTAGTAACAAACAATGATCTAAAAAAGTCAATTTAAAATACACCTTTTTAAAATAACTTTGCTCCAAACCAGTACTTCTTTATGGAGAGCTTTAATTACAAGAATTTCATTCACTTCTGGAAAAAAAAAGTGATAAATACCTCAAGAATAAAATTTTCATGACTCATTTTGCAGCAGACGTTCTCTTAAAAAATAAGATAAAAGCTTAACTTTATCTGACAACCATTTTAACATTTTTAATTGAACTTTTTTCTTAAAAATATGAGAAAAAGCACATTTCCTTCATAAAACTCTTTTCCACATAACATTAAAAGTATCCACACTTAAGTCATTGCATTTTTTACATTTCACAAAGACAATTACAGATATAAATTAAGATTGTAATAATACATAACTTATTCAACATACTTAATGCCAGTATTGTACATCTGAATACTTAGAAACCTTGTTTCAAACTAAATATTCGAATTCATGACATCAATAAAAATAGACACTGCCTGCCATTAAAATTGCAACACCAGGAAGGAATGATCTGACATACGTCAAAATCGCATGAAAGGAAGAAGAGGTTAAGATATGCAAATGATTAGTATTTCAGCCTATTTAAGACGATGCAGGAAGAAAAAGCAACATTTGAAGATCTGAATAAAAGTGTGTTGTGAATTTCTCACTTGGAAAGCGCTTTGTAAGGTTGGAGTTTGCTCAGAATATTGTGTTGTGTCTTGAAAAATACGAAGAAATGCTTGCCAGCAAGTGTGGGAATGGGATAGAGGCAGGATCGTTGTCTATCAAGAGTGCAGATTATTGTTCTATGATGTCGCACTGGTCAACATCCAACCACTGTCATGAGAATATGGAATCAATAGGATGCTGAGGGTCATAATGAATGGCCTGAGGATCTCAATGCTCTCCTATGACTAATGCACAAGAGGACAGACATATTGTGAGGTCAGACCTCAAAAACCATACAACCACATCACAGACCATTAGTCAGGAAATGGGCATGTTTGCAGCATGCCTAACAGCCGCTCGTACAGGCAGTCAACGTTTGCAGCCATGTGGACTATAAACATGACGACCATTACTTCGGTTTCCCTTGACAGTGCAGCATAGAGAGAGATGGTGACAGTGATGTGCCAAATGCCAAAACTGGGTATAAGAGTGGCACAATGTCATCTTACCAATCCCAGCTCTTTGTGCATTATTCTGATGGAAGTATACATGTCTGGACGTCGCATGCTTGCCTTCGATATCAGCATACGGGCTGTGCACCTGGTGTAATGGTTTGAGCAGCCAACGTGTTCATGAAACATACTTTTCTAGTTCGGATTGACAGTAATTTGAATGCAGATTGATACATTTCCAACATCTTACGTCCAGTAGTTGCACCATATCTTCGAGGTCTGCAAACACCATCTTCCAACAACATAATGCAAGACCACATGTTGCACGTTGTGTTCTGACCTTCCTCGATACACATGGGTATTTGATTGCTACCCTGGCCTGCATGGTCTCTAGATCTGTCACCCACAGAAAACATCTGATCATGGGTTGCCGAAAGACTGGCCCGCTACCCTTCTCCAGCCAATACGGTATTTAGAAGGTAACATGGTATAGACTTGAAGCAGCATTGAATGAGTTGCCCATTTAAGTTATCCACACCCAGTTCGACTCCATGCCTAGCCAGGTAAGGGCCGTTTTAGATGGAAAGGGTGGCATCTGGTTCTACTAATTTCGCACCCCTGTAAACCCCCAAACTGCTTACAAATTTAATCATTTTATCTTTATGCCATATTGTTTACATACAATGAATATCTTTTTTGTAATTGCTTTCTTTCATGGTGTTACAATTTTAATGGCCAGCAGTTATGAAATGAAATTTAAATCTCAATCAAACATTACCTATTCAATGTATTTGATGCCACTATATTATATTTGAACATCTATATAAGTCAGTTGTAAATAAATTTGCTAAAAACTAAAATAAACCAGAACAAAATCTATGAAAAGTTTCCTGCACAAAACATTTACAGTGCTTTACGTTTTGCTTCATTCCTCTAAAAACATTTTTCATTAGCTTTTCTTCCAAAATAAAATACTATTCAAAGATAATAACACCGGGGGAAAAATGCTATGACAGATGCAAAATTCAATCTGAGGACTTCCACTTGATTGTTGAGTTGGGTGAAGTTTAAAATTAAATACTACTAAAAAAATCAACAGCCATAATTTTCTTATTTACTGCTGACATGTGTATTTTCTCTTCACATATAGATTCACTCAGGGATTTTCTATCCTGAGTGAATCTATATGTGGATCTTCTATAATTATGCAGAATTTGAGCAAAATTGAAGTGATCAAGGCCATGTGCTTCCTTTATAAGTGATCTTATACGCCATACAGTGAACGTCAATGCATACAAGATTTCAAACCACAAAGAATTGCTACTTAGATATTCCCCTTACTAAAATGAGACCTGATTTGGAAATTTCTGATTTGCAGTAAAAACATGCCAAGTATAAAATGGTAACATAATATATTAAAAGCAATAACTGTAACTGACCATTTTTAAGCATAATATAATGTAATACACAACAAAAAAATAAAAAAAAAAGAAAAGGACATATATTTTTATACGCTTTATTAATCTGGCAAATTGTTCCTTTAATCCTTCTCATCAGAAATCATAAACACTGTATAAATTTACCTTTACAATTTTCATTAAAAGTGTTAATTGTGATATGATCAAATTAGTAAAATTGGGAGAAAGTATACAAATAAATGCAATGTTCTCAAAGCCTTACGTAAAATATAATTAATGAGTAATTTCCTAACCCTTATCTTTGATCTCATGTTTGACAATATACATGAATAACACACTTCACACATTTGTGAAGAAACAGTTCTCTCCAACCCTATTGCTTTTTAACTAAGACATTCAGTCCCATGCAACTTGCTAGAAACAAAAAGGCCACAAAAGATCAATTTAAAAACTTGCCTCTCATTTTATGTAAACAAACAACTTTTAACTACTTCTACAGCAGGAAGATATCCGATTTCAAACTCAATTTTCTATAATGATGCTAGATAAACACTCTACATAACACTGGCAGGAGGTTAAATTAAGGCATTACAGCAATACATTTAAGACAAACCGATTTAAAAGTAACACATTTTATGTACAACTCTCCAAAGGATACTGGGTCTCATTCACATTAAATTTTGCATTTCATGCTAAGTTTTTGTCAAATGAATAACTCTTACGTTGCATTTTTTTACAAAACATATAAAAAGGCCTGCACAGCAGAACACACATATTGCGCTTCTTGTCAATCACAAAGGTTTTTAATTACTTTTGCCGATTATTTAAAAATTTCTTTTACTTAATTTTAATAATTCTCCTTTCCTTCATTATCATTAATTACAGAACAAAAACAACTTTTCACATAAATACACTGCTGAGCATTAAAACTGCAATACCAGGAAAGAATGATCTGACGAATGTCAAAATTACATGAACGGAAGAAGTGTTTTGGATCTGCAAATGATTAATATTTCATAGCATTTAGACAAAGCAGGAAGGAGAAACAACATCTGAAGCACTGCAAAGAAAAGTTATGTGGTGTATTTTTCCTTCAGAAAGCACTTTGTAAAGTCAGAGTTTCCTCAGAATATCATGTTATGCCTTGAATAATAAGAGAAAATTCTTATCAGCAAGTGTCGGAATGCGATAGAGGCAGGATCGTTGCCTATCAAGGGTGTGGATTATCGTTCTGTGATATCGCCAGTCGCACTGGTCAACATCCAACCACTGTCATGCGAATATAGGATCAATAGTTTGCTGAGGGTCATACTGAACAAAATGCAGGATCTCAATGCCTTCCCTTGACTAATGCCCGAAAGGACAGACATATCATGAGATCAGCCTCAAAAAACCGTACAACCACATAACGGATCATTTGTAAGGAAATGGGCATGTTTGTAGCACACCTAGTGTCCGCTCGTACGGTGGGTCGGTGTTTGGAACAGCGTGATCTATCAGCACGGTGACCATTACTTGGCCTTCACTTGACAATGCAGCATAGAGAGAGATGGTGACTCTGAATGAGAAAGCTGGATAAAGAAGTGGCCCAATGTCATCTTTTCAGACAAGTCCTGGATCTGCATGCAGTTTTCTAATGGCCGTATAAGTGTCTGGAGGCTCCGAGGAGACCACGTGTCGCCTGCTTACATTCGGTATTGGCATAGAGACCCTGCACCTGGTGTGATAGTTTGAGTAGTTATTAGGAACACGATACACACATCTCTAGTTCAGATCAACGGTAATTTTAAATGCAGATCAGTAATTTTCCGACATCTTACGTCCAGTGGTTGTGCCCTATCTTCGAGGCCCCCAAACACCATGTTTGAACAAGATAATGCAAAACCACACATCGTGTTCTGATTTTTCTCAATAAGCAGATGCTTCCCTGGCCTACACGGTCTCCAGATCTGTCCCTTACTGAAAACATCTGGTCATGAGTTGATGAGAGACTAGCCCACCACCCCTCTCCAGCTAACACGGTTGACAAAGTGTTGCGTACACTTGAAGCAGCATGGAATTAGTAGCCAATTTCTGTCATCCAAGCTTAGTTCGACTCCATGTCTAACTGGTTAAGAGCTGTTTTAGCTGGCAGGGGTGGTAGCTGTTTCTACTTATTTCACATCCCTGTAAACCCCAAAACTGCTTACAAATTTAACCATTTTATCTTCATGTCATACTGTTTGTGTACAATTAATATCTTTTTTTTTTTGTATTTGCTTTCCTTCATAGTATTGCTATTTTAATAGCCAGCAGTGTATAAGGTGTCTCAGGACCACAGTCACAAATTTTGTTGGAGAGGCAGGTTTCACCTAGATAATTTGAAATCACATAGCAGTGTAGGGTAAGAAATGATGTGAATGCAACAGTCTATTAATGAAACACCAGAAATGAAAAGAACTAATTTAATATGAATATAAATTTGTGATATATATATTTTATATATCACAAATGAATCACAAGTCACAAGTGAATATAAATTTTTAAAAATAAATATACACTTAAGAAAGCTAAGGTCAAAGAAAGTGCTCATAG